GTTGGAGTTTGAGTTTAATTAGGAATTTCCTTCTGTAAGCTCCTATTTAAGGAGCCACGAATTGAAATAAAGCATCCAGTTTTTCAGCCAAGAAAAGAGTGAGGAGAGTTCGGGTGGTCTCTTGGACAAATCACCCCAAGGGAGAGTTTGGGTGGTCTCTTGGACAAATCACCCATTCAGTTTCCGTAATCGGGTCTACAAGCAAGGGAAGGCGCAAGGGGAAGCAGGACTTTCGCACCGTGGACCGACCCGTGACGGGATCTTACGTGCGGGACCATAACAGCAAGCTGCCTGGGAAGTGTTGCATGGTGGCAAGCTGCCTAGTGGTGAGTTGCCTGTGAAGTGCTACATGATGGCGAGCTACTTGTGGCGAGCTCGAGCTATCTAGCTATCAAGGGGCTGCACTTAGTTGGCATGAGGTGCCAGGTGTCACAATGTCATTGGAGGGCCAAATACGCCCTCATCATTTGCCCCCCACTTCCGAGCTGAAAGTAACTCGGCGAAGGGAGTAGATTTCTCCTTTTGGCCTGTAATTTGACGAGCTCATAAGCGCTGATTCAGATTCTTAGGCTCTGGGAGCTGCTTGGAAGTGAGTTGCCCGTGGGGCGTCGAGGTCTCTGCCAGTTCGGTACTTTAGCCCTTAGATTCTAGGAGCGACTTGTAGTCTACTCTCCTTGACTTTGCCCATGTCGACAGGTCGACTGGGTCTTGAGCAGTAGTGTTGCCCATGTTACAAATTAGTGCATCTTACTTAGTCAAACTTCTGTTGCTATTTCTTAGGCATAGACTAAGTCAGTATGAGCTGTTTCTATTGCTATTTCTTAGGCATAGACTAAGTCAGTATGAGCTATCAAATAACAGAGTAGTTACTCTGCTATAATAGATTTTTATGCTAAGTAGTTGATTGTTTTAAGGAAAAGTTGTTATGTTTAAATCTATAAATTTCAGCAGTCTAATGTATTTTGAGTGTGCTTCAATAAAAAGATATTCAGTTTATTCTCCAAATATCAGTACTTCCCTTAATCAATTTATGCTCTTTTGTGTTATGGTATCAGAGCCACGTTGAGATTCTTGTTTATTTCACTCTTCTTGTCTATCAAGTTCATCTTGTTGGAGAAGATTGAAACTCAAAATGGAATTCAATGGGGGAAGCAGTTCTAACACACAATATGGTGTGGAGAAACTTGTAGGCACAAACTACAGGTATTGGAGAATGTGCATGGAGGCCTTTCTTCAAGGTCAAGATCTTTGGGAACTAGTTTTCGGTGTTGATGAAATTCCAGCTGACACTCCTGAAAATGCTGAGTCACGAAGGAAATGGAAGATCAAATGTGGTAAGGCATTATTTGCTCTAAGAACATCAATCAGCAAGGAGTTCATTGATCATGTTCGTGATGTTAGTTCACCAAAGGAAGTTTGGGATACTCTTGAGAGACTGTTCTCTAAGAAGAATACAGCAAGACTATAGTTCTTGGAAAATGAGTTGGCTATGTTGAAGCAAGAAGGTATGTCAATCTCAGAATATTTCCTTCGCGTCAAGAATATTTGCGTTGAAATTTCTGAGCTAGATCCCAAAGAAAAGATTAGTGATGCTCGTCTACGACGGTTTCTCATTCGTGGATTGAAGACGAAATACACGCCCTTCATTACATCCATTCAAGGATGGGAAAAACAACCATCTGTTGAAGAATTAGAGAGCTTGCTCTCTAACCAGGAGGCCTTAGCTAAGCAAATGGCTAAGAATTTCAATTCAGAACGTGATGATGTTCTCTTTTCCAAAGCAAAGTTTTCTGAAGGCAGCATGAATGAGAAGAAGGGCAATGGAAATAGCCCACAAGGTAATAAATCTTTTAAGTGTTACAGGTTTGGGAAGCTTGGGCATATTAAGAGAATTTGTCGTGTAAAGCTCTCCAAAGCAAATATTGCTTGTGATGAAGATGAAGATGACCAACTCAACTGGGAGCAATGCTTCACTACTGAGGTGATTGAAGGAAGAAATAACATTGCTCGCAAATCAGCACCAAATAAAACTGCAGTCAACTACGTCAAAGATGAATGGATCATTGATTCTGGTTGCTCACATCATGTGACCGGAAATGATTCACTATTCTTAGAGTTGCATAAACATAATGGAGAACGAGTCATTGTTACAGCTGACAACTCAACCTATCCGGTGGTACAAGAAGGTGTTGTGAAGATTGGTGCCGATAACGCAAGTATTTAGTTGAATGATGTCTACCATGTACCAGGTTTGAAGAAAAACTTAGTTTCAGTTTCTCAAATTACTGATTATGGAAAATATGTTTTGTTTGGCCCAAACAATGTGAAAGTACTTGATAATGTGAAAAATATTGGGGCTGATGTTGTTCTCTCTAGTGAAAAGAAAGACTCTTTATTTGTCATGTCGGTGGGGGAGGCATATGTGAAGAAGACGAGCCAAGCTAATAGTGCAGCAATCTGGCATGCTAGGTTGGGACATGTAGGTTATCAAATGCTGCAACAAATTTCTTCGTAGATGTTGTTAGATGGCATACCAGATCTTCAAAATATACAAGAAAATATGATTTGTCAAGGCTGCCAATATGGAAAATCACATCGACTTCCTTTCAAAAGCTCGTCAAATTGCAGATCCACTTTGTTTGAATTAGTTCATACTGATCTGATGGGGCCAACTAGAACACCAAGTTACAGCGGTTATCTTTTCGTCATGGTGTTGGTAGACGATCATTCTAGGTATACCTGGATATATTTCTTAAAAGTGAAGAGAGAAGCATTATCTAAGTTTGTTGAATTCAATAAGGCTGTAGAAAAGGAATTTGGACAGAAAATCAAATGTTTGAGGAGCGATAATGGCGGTGAATTCATGTTAGCTGATTTCTTTCAATATTGTGACAGCAATGGTATTCAACGACAAATGACGTGTTCGAACACCCCTCAGCAAAATGGGGTTGTAGAAAGGAAGTTGGCACATCTTACATCAATCAGTCTTTCATGGCTACATGAGAAAAATCTTCCTAGAGAGCTTTGGGCAGAAGCAGTTCAATGTGCATGTCATGTGATAAATAGGCTACCTCCTTGGCCAGGTAAAGAAAAGGCTCCATTTGAGATAATGTGTAATGTGAAACCAAATGTAAATTACTTTCGGGTGTTTGGTTCTATTTGTTATGTTTATATTCCTAAAACTAACCAAACCAAACTTGATCCAAAAGCAAAGAAGTGTATTTTTGTTGGCTATGACTCATGCAGGAAAGGATGGAGGTGCATGGATCCAATGACGAAGAAATTTGTCACATCTAGAGATGTCGTATTTGAGGAGGTGTCATCTTGGTATCCAGCTCAAAAATTAATTGTTCAAAATATAGATTCTGATCATGATCAAGATAATATGGAGCTGTTTCCTGAAACTAACACACAAACATCTGATAACGGTGATCCTAATCAACAAAGAAGTGATGAGTCTTCAGCTTCTTCAAGTTCAAACAACGGTGAGCAAGCAACTAGAAGATCAACAAGGGAGAAAAGACAACCAACCTACCTCAAAGATTATGTGCAGCTCAATCAGTGTACTGTGACAACTTGCTTGTTTATAGGAGCATTAACAGAAGAAGAACCAACATGTTATGAAGAAGCAAAAGGCTGCCCAGAATGGGAAGCGACAATGCAAGAAGAAATTGGAGCCTTAAAGAAAAATGAGACATGGGAGCTTGTACCTAAGCTAGAAAATTGCACTCCGATCACCTGCAAATGGGTTTATCGGGTGAAGAAGAAACCAGATAGCACAATTGACAAATTCAAAGCTCGTCTAGTTGCTCGTGGCTTTTTTCAAAGCTATGAGTTGGATTATGAGGAGACCTTCAGTCCCGTGGCAAAAATGGTGACTGTGAGGTCAATTGTTTCACTTGCTGCTTTTAGAAATTGGAGGTTATGGCAACTTGATGCAAAAAACACATTTCTTTATAGTGAATTAGACCGTGAGGTGTTCATGGAACAACCCAAAGGATTCGTCTCCAAGCAATTTCCTCAACATGTATGCCAGTTGAAAAAGGCATTGTATGGCCTTAAACAAGCACCACGTGCTTGGTATGGTAAAGTTTCTCAATACTTCATCTTTTGTGGATTTAAAGTTGCTAATTCAGATTCTAGTTTTTTTGTAAAATTAGAATCAAAGATGCATTTGCTGGTTTTACTATACGTGGATGACATGATAATCACCGGAGATGATGAAGTTGAAATTTCTCAATTGAGGAACAATTTGTCAACTCGATTTGAAATGAAAAATTTGGGTGAGATTGGATGCTTTCTTGGGCTAGAAGTGGAGAAATCAGATCAGGAATATTTTATATCTCAAAGATGATATGCAAAGAGTCTCTTGGAGCATTTTGGAATGGGGGAGTCAAGAGAAATGGCTACTCCCATGGAGCCATACCTCAAGCTCAAGAAAGAGGAAGGAGAGCTATTGAAGAATGCTAGACGCTTTCGACAACTTGTTGGTAGTTTAATCTACTTAACTATCACAAGACTAGAAATTTCATATTCTATAGGTGTTATTTCTCAGTTTATGCAAAATCCAAGAACTCATCATTTAGATGCTGCCAAAAGGATTTTGCGATATGTAAAGGGCTCGCCTGCTTATGGTCTTATGTACAAGAAAGGAGGTGACTTTGTCTTAAGAGGATTCACTGATGCAGATTGGGCAGGTGATGCAGTCGATCGTCGTTCAACTTCAGGGTATTGCTTCAGTCTTGGTTCAGCTGTTGTTTCATGGTGTAGTAAGAAACAATGAACTGCTGCCTTGTCTAGTGCTGAAGCTGAATATATGGCTGCAACAATGGCTGCACAAGAATGCATTTGGTTGAAGTGTTTGATGGAAGATATTTTCTCTAAGGTTGATTATGCTGTGCAAATCTATTGTGACAATGAGAGTGCTATCAGACTTGCTTCGAATCCAGTTTTTCATGGGCGAACAAAGCATATTAAAGTCCATCACCACTTTGTTCGTTAAAAGGTGTTGAATCAAGAAATTGAGCTGCAAGGAATTCCCCATTACAATCAAGTGGCAGATATATTTACAAAGGCTTTAGAAAAAGCAAAATTTGAAAACTTTAGAGCTGCACTTGGAGTTGTTGATCATAAGCATGCACTAAGGGGGAGTGTTACAAATTAGTGCATCTTACTTAGTCAAATTTCTGTTGCTATTTCTTAGGCATAGACTAAGTTAGTATGAGCTGTTTCTGTTGCTATTTCTTAGGCATAGACTAAGTCAGTATGAGCTGTTTCTGTTGCTATTTCTTAGGCATAGACTAAGTCAGTATGAGCTGTCAAATAACAGAGTAGTTACTCTGCTATGATAGATTTTTATGCTAAGTAGTTGATTGTTTTTAGGAAAAGTTGTTATGTTTAAATCTATAAATTTCAACAGTCTAATGTATTTTGAGTGTGCTTCAATAAAAAGATATTTAGTTTATTCTCCAAGTATTAGTACTTCCCTTAATCAATTTCTGCTCTTTTGTGTTAGCCCATGCCGTAGAGGCGGCTGGGTCTTTCAGCAGTATTGTGGCCCTTAGGCTTTGGGAGGGACCCGTAGTCCACTCTTGTACTTTGCCCATGTCGGAGAGGCGACTGGGTCTTTCAGTAGTATTGTG